GTGCTAAGGGGTGCAGATGTGAGCAGTTCTGCAGGAACGTTACAGTGGGTGCGTGGGTGAGCAGTGCTGGAAGAAGGCTGCAGGGGGTGCAGGGGTGAAGAATATTGGAAGAGGGTTGTAGAGAGTGTAGCTGTGAACAGTTCTGGAAGAGGGGTGCAGAAGTGAACAATGTTGGAAGAGCATTACAGGAGGTGCAGATATGAGCAATGTTTGAAGAGGGTTGCAAAGGGTTCAGGGGGGATGAACAGTATTGGAAGAGGGTTGCAGGGGATGAAAACATGAATAATAATGCAGAGGGTTACAGGGGGTGCAGAGGTGAATAGTGCTGACACAGAAGGTTGAAAGGGGGCACAGAGGTGAGCAGTGTTGAAATAGGGGTCCAGGGGGTGCAGAGGTGAGCAGTGTTGAAATAGGGGTCCAGGGAGTGCAGAGGTGAGCAGTGTTGAAATTGGGGTCCAGGGGGTGCAGAGGTGAGCAGTGTTGAAATAGGGGTCCAGGGGGTGCAGAGGTGAACAGTGTTGAAATAGGGGTACAGGGGGTGCAGAGGTGAGCAGTGTTGAAATGGGGTACAGGGGGTGCAGAGGTGCAGCATGTTGAGGGGTACAGGGGGGTGCAGAGCAGTGTTGAAATAGGGGGTACAGAGGTGAGCAGTGGGGGGTGCAGAGTGCAGAGGTGAGCAGCATTGAAAGTGAGTTGCAGGGGTTGCACGGGTGAGCAATATTGGAAGAGGGAAGCAGAAGGCATATGGGGGGGAACAGTTTTGGAGGCGTGTGTAGCAGAGAGTACATGGAGGGGGGGAACAGTTTTGGAGGCGTGTAGCAGAGAGTACATGGGGGGAACAGTTTTGGAGGGGGGTTTCATAGTACATAGCCTTATCATTGTATTCTACATATTTCTGTAAATTGCTCTCATGTTACCTATTTCTGACCAAATCACTCTGTACACTTGGCTGTACATGAAGTACTCCTGATCATTGCCTGATTATTCAGACTTCTTTAGGTCCCTATGTTCTCATAGCAGATATGAAGAATATGAATCCAAGTTGAAAGCAGACTTAGAAGTATTTAACATGCAAATCCTGATCAAAAAGAAAAAAAAAAATTGGGCATGATAAAAGGGCATTTATTGAGGGCAAGGCCTATTAGGTGGGGAGGTGATGAGAGCAAAGTATGCCTCTAGATATACTGTACACATTGGTCATGTTAGTCATACTGATTAGGCCAATCACTCTCTTTTGGATTCTCCTCTTTCTTCACGGGGTCTCTTCTAGATGTTCCAAGCACAAGAACATTACCAGTGAACTTCAGAGCACTCTAATGAAAAAATATCACAAAAAAAAAGCACTTTTCATTCCGATTCTTCAAATAATCCTCTTCACGTGGAGTCAGGTACACTGGTAATGGTTCCTCACATATTTCTACTGTCGGACCTTCTCTGATTGTGGAGGGAGGTGTCGCAGTCACAAACCTCCTTGGCTTAGGGAGCGGTGTCCAAACACCAGATCCCTGATAGTCTTTCTCTCTCTACACCTTCCTCTTTTTTTCTGAACACCATGGTAGAATCCAATCGCTCTGCCAAATCGACCAAGGATATCAAACCTTATCTGAAATACCAACCCCCTCCTGCAAAAAAAGTTGAAAATAATAAACATCTCTTCTTATGACTTGTCCTCGGAAGAAGCTGAAGACCCTCTCCTTGGGCTTGAGCTTTTATCCATTGTCGAAACTAGATAGGTTTGACATAATTCAAAAATCTACAACAATTTGCATGTAAAATAATCCTACGGTTATCCCATGACAAGACACCTGATGAGACTACTGCCGAAAAACGTTCACTAAAAGCATATAAAGCCCTTCAAAATCTGTCTCTCCTTTATGTGGAGAGTAATTATATAGATCTAATTGATTGGATTGATTTTGAGAAGATGCTCCAGGGTGACAGTGGATTGATTGAAATAACACTCCACCAGAGGCTTAACTGGAACCTTCAGGGCTCCGGTACAAGAAGCCATGAAGGGCTCCCCTGACCCTATCCCAGAGCCCTTTCCATTGGTCCTGAGGCCCTTGCCACTGATTCCAAAGCCCTTTACTATCGTTGCGGGGCCTTTTATTATGGTCCTGAAGCAGTACCCTTCCACGTGTTTGCAGCAGGCCCTATTCCTGCATAATTGCCAACCTTTGCAAAAAAATTTCAGGGAAACCTTTTTTTTGCTATGGGTTCTGTCAGCCATTTTAGGTAGAGAAGGTATCACCTTCTCACTGGCCATAAACGTATATTTAGCCTCTTGGTGGGTGGGTCTGAATGCCGAGAAGCTGCTTACATGCCTACCAAAATGTCAACAAATCTGTGTTGAGAGTGCACATCCTGGGGTCACATGGCTGAAATATCCACCTCCCAGCATCTGAAACCTCCTAAACTACTAGGAGATGCCTGCATTAAGGGGGGTAGCAGCACAGTGGCTAAATAGTTAGCATTTCCACCTAGCAGTATTAGGGTTGTTGGTTCAAATCTCAGCCATGGCACCACCTGCCTGGAGTTTGCATGTTCTTCCTGTGCCTGCGTGGGGTTACCTCCAGGTATTCTGGTCTCCCTCCCACACCCCAAAGACATGCTGGTAGGTTAATCAGATCCTGCCTAAATTGGCCCTAGTACAGTATCTGAATATTGATCAATCCTGAAGTAATGACGGCCAATCTAATTTTCTTGAGGTCCAAGAATGTCAGAACAAGTACAGATATCCCCCCAAATGTCAGGACAGTACAGATATCCCCCAAATGTCAGGACAGTACAGATATCCCCCAAGTGTCAGAACAGTACAGATATCCCCCAAATGTCAGAACAGTACAGATATCCCCCAAATGTCAGGACAGTACAGATATCCCCCAAATGTCAGGAACAGTACAGATATCCCCCAAATGTCAGGACAGTACAGATATATCCCCCAAATGTCAGGACAGTACAGATATCCCCCAAATGTCAGAACAGTACAGATATCCCCCCAAATGTCAGAAACAGTACAGATATCCCCCAAATGTCAGAACAGTACAGATATCCCCCAAATGTCAGGACAGTACAGATATCCCCAAATGTCAGGACAGTACAGATATCCCCCCAAATGTCAGGACAGTACAGATATCCCCAAATGTCAGGAACAGTACAGATATCCCCCAAATGTCAGAACAGTACAGATATCCCCCAAATGTCAGGACAGTACAGATATCCCCCAAATGTCAGGACAATACAAATGTCAGACAGACAGGTAGATATCCCCCAAATGTCAGGACAGTACAGATATCCCCCAAATGTCAGGACGGTACAGATATCCCCCAAATGTCAGGACAGTACAGATATCCCCCAAAATGTCAGGACAGTACAGATATCCCCCCAAATGTCAGGACAGTACAGATATCCCCCAAATGTCAGGACAGTACAGATACCCCCCCCAAATGTCAGGACAATACAGATATCCCCCAAATGTCAGGACAGTACAGATATCCCCCCAAATGTAAGTAGGAACAGACAGATATCCCCCCAAATGTACAGACAGTACAGATATCCCCCCAAATGTCAGAACAGTACAGATATCCCCCAAATGTCAGGACAGTACAGATATCCCCCAAATGTCAGGACAGTACAGATATCCCCCAAATGTCAGAACAGTACAGATATCCCCCAAATGTCAGAACAGTACAGATATCCCCCAAATGTCAGGACAGTACAGATATTGCCCAAATGTCAGACAGTACAGATATCCCCAAATGTCAGGACAGTACAAATATCCTCCAAATGTCAGAACAGTACAGATATCCCCCAAATGACCCCTTTTTTTGCAAAGTAGACAGTCCAACGTAATTCATAAGAGGCATGGCGATGTTTTCTGAAGTTGTCATTTTTTTGTCATAATTTTTTGGAAATGAAAAAATAAAAAAAAATGATTTTCACTATTTTTTTTTTTTTTACATACTGTCACCAGTGCAGTACAGCATCATCATATAACGGCATGGTGGTGATCAGGGACACTGACTGGGTGATAGTATGAAAAAAAAAAAAAGATTTTTTTTTTTTACATTTTTTTTTTATTTTTTTTATTACTTATTACATTTTTTCTCTTTTTTTTTAAGATTTTGTTTTCATATTTCACTATGACCAAAGTAGTATAATGTTACCATTAGTACAATGTTATTGTACTACTTTGGGGAAGTGATCAGTATTTTTTTTTTTTTACACAATTGCTTATAGCAAAGAATTACTTTTCTATAAGCAAGCATTTACCTGAATGAAATCGATTCATTCAGGGTTTTTTTTTTCTTAACTGTACTTTTGCCACAGCTAATCACATGACACAGCTGGGCTGTGATTGGCCCCAGCTTGTGCATGTGATTGCTGTGACCATTCACAGCTAGACACACTTGTATTCAATGGATGGCATGAAAGGAAGCCCATCCATTGTATACAACTGTCATCTTACTTGCAGCTGTGATTGGTCACAGCAGGTCACATGGTACTGGCATCGCGGGGCCGATACACAGATCTGTCATCGGCCGTGTCCAAGGTACATGGCCAGCGAGAGAGATCGCGCCCCTGCGTGGCTCTGCGGACAGATAAAAACTGCGCATGCCTGAAAGGACGCCGTCCACCCAGAGGGACGACCTGCTCTGCCTGGCCGCCATCTGGCTATAGTCCGGGTGGGCGGACTGGTTAACTTCTCACTATTTGCTGAAGACATTTTGCTAAAGCTTACGGAACCTCACACATCCTTACCTGTCTTGCACAATACATACATTTTAGTGAAGTTTCTGGTTACAAAATGAATACTTCCAAAAATGGAAGCTCTGCCATTTAAACATTTCCTTGCTTCAATTGTCTTTGCTATAGCAGTTCTATGACATATCATTGATGTACCCACTCCATCAAATATTTACTGTAGGTACATCAATCATTAAAACCTAATTATTCCCATTTATATTAAGGCTAATGTTCCCTTTGTTTAGGGAAATACATCCCTCTTTACATCAGTGGGATGCCTACAATATATCTTTTTTTAGGTAAGATCAACGTACTAAAATTGGCCATCTTGCTGAAGTTGCTTTATCTTTTTGAGACACCTGCCAGTTGCTGTACCTAAGTACCAATTACAGTCTCTACAATGTCTTTTTTTCAGATTTATTTGGCACAACAAAAGACCGGGATAGGGAGATCTGTTCTTTTCTATCTCCTAGATCTAGGGGAGGGCTTAGGAGCCCCGGATTTAATTATTAAGTACTGCCTAGCCTCCCATTTATGTCAGATTCTCTCTTGGACGATTAGAGGATTCCGAGTAGCTCAACCGGAAGTCGATGGGCAGGAATTGAACTGCAAGTCAGTCTTTTCCAATCCACCTTTCTGTATTATTTAGATACCTCTGAAGTGATAGCCAAATGCATAACCTCATACTAACTATACAGTAAGGATATGGCATGAGTGTAACAGGACTTTTACTTTATCCCACCATTGGGCTCTTACTAGACAAACATCTTGTTACAGCCCTGCCATTGCCCATACAGCTTGTCTTTTACTCAAATGATGCCTTGGGCACAAGCACCACATATTTCAATTACTTCATTTAGTCAACTCTGTTGCCCACAAATTATCATTTAACCACTTGAGCTCCAGAGGATTTACCCCCCCTTAATGACCACGCCTCTTTTTGCTACTCAGCGCTGCACTAATTCAACTGATAATTGCGCGGTCATGCAATGCTGCACGCCCAAACGAACCTTTACGTCCTTTTTTTCACACAAATAGAGCTTTCTTTCGGTGTGTAATTTGATCACCTGTGCGCTTTTATTTTTCACGCTATAAACAAAAAAAGGCCAAAAATTTTGAAGAAAAAAATATTTACTTTTCAGCTATAAAAAAATATATAGTAAACTCAAAGTTGGTTATAAATTTAGGCCAAAATGTATTCTGGCTCCATTTTTTTGGTTTAAAAAAATCAATAAGTGTATATTGATTGCTTTGTGTGAAGTTATAGCGTCTACAAACTATGGTATAGATACTGCAATTTACGCCATTTTTCTGTATACAGCACTGCGCTAGTTTAACGGAAAATTGCTATAGCGGTCATGCAATACGGTACATAAATGAAATTTACATCCTTTTTTTCCCCGCAAATTGAGCTTTCTTTCGGTGGAATTTGATCGCTGTCTGTGCGTGTTTTTATTTTTTGCGCTATAAAAAAAAGGCTACTGACAATTTTGAGGAAAAAAACAAAAAAAAAACAATATTTTGGGACTTTTTGCTATAAAACATGTCCAGTAAAAAAAAAATGCAAACAATCAAATTTAGTCATAAATTTCTGCCAAAATGCATTCTGCGACATGTCTTTGCTAAAAAAAAAAAACCAATACGTGGTAAATTAATTGGTTTACGTGAAAGTTATAGCGTTTACAAATGGGGGAAAGATACTGGGATTTTTAGGGGTTTTTTTATACTAACAAATGGCGGGCGATCAGGAATTATGGCAGCGATCAGGGACTTATGGCAGCGACCAGCGACTTATGGCGAGGACTGCGGGACTGCAGAGGACATTCTGACATTGGGGGGTACGTGGGTTACTGACTTGGGGTCACTGACATCCCCAAAAAACACTAATACAGTGATCAGTGCAAAAAAAAAAAACACTGACACTGTACTAATGGCACTGGGGAGGAAGGGGTTAACTTTTATTTTGCAGGGAAGGGTTATAGGGACGTGAGGGGAGTGTTTTACTAGGGGGCAGGTGGGGGGTGTTTTGTTGTACTGCAGGTGGGGCCCCCCCCCCCGGGACAAGGTGATACCCGGATCGAGAAAGAGAAACTGTTCTTTCTCGATCAGCTCATCCTCGAGCTGACAGGGAACTGACAGACAGCACAGCTACTGCAGCTGTCCTCTCTGTCACTGATCGCCGCTGATCGGCGGGAAACATTCCGCTAAGGACCGGCTGTGACCCGGCGACTCACATCTGCGGCGGTGATCGGTGGGACAGATAGGGCGGCGGCGCGCCTACGCGCGCGCCCCCTATTTGTTTACAAAACACGCGTTTTAAAACGTGGTTTTGCCTGCGTAGAGTGCCGCCCTGCCGCCGTATATTTACTGTGGTTAGGGCGGCAAGTGGGTTAAGGAACTAAGAACTCGGAAAAAATCATTGCCTTCTCGGTCTTTCTATGCATATCTCCAAATTCATCACTTTTTTTATACTTTGAAACCCTCTTTAACTTTATGCCGCCCCCACTAACTTTAAATGCATATGTATACAGAGTCCAGTCTCAGACACATTTTAATATCCATGCTACATATAACTGCTTCAGGTTACTTCCCCTCTGGAAGAGGATCACACATATAGATGAGAAAATGGGCAGGATGCTCTCCACCTGCCTACATCATTATCCAGGTGGCAAATGGATTGGAAGCTGCTTTCAAGATTTCCGGATGTGTAACTTAGAAAGAAAATATATACAAATTCATGATGCATTGCTACAAAACCCTAGTTTTACCCACTATAAATCCATTGATATCTGAAAACATATTGTAGATGTTCAGGTAATACTGGATCCCTGGTGTGGCAGACCCAACTGACACCTGTCTTTTTGGAGGGGTCTGCAGGCTAGTCACTTGCCTACTGATCATGGGCCCTGGCATCTGAGGGGGCTGTATTCTTAGAGGCTGAGTGTTTTCACAGACCACCTGGCCACTTAAGCGCTTTCATCCAAGAACTGCTTCCTCACCGCAGGGACACAGGACTAAGGTATTATAGCAGGACATGCAACCAAGTACTAGATGACACAAGCTTAGGTGCAAACTGGAACTTTTTATTGAACAGAAATATAGGTTTTTTAAACACTTCAGAAACAGGGGCAGTCCCCCACATGATCAATACGAAAAACATTAAACACTGGGATAAACATCCTTACACTGATTAGGTGAGAACTTGAGCACAATTATCCTAAACAATGCAAATGGTAAATAGTACAACCAACAGCTAACAGTGATCTAATTAACCACTTGCCGCCCAGCCACCGCATATAAACGGTGGCAGGGCGGCGCTCGTAGGCAAAAAGCACGTTTTAAAGCGGCTGGCCTTCAAAAAACAGGTTTAGGGGGGCGCGAGCGAGGCGCGCGACCCGCCCTACCTGTCCCCGCGGGTATCAGCATGGCGGGGTGTCAGCCGACGGGTCACGGCTGGTTTTTTACCGGCCGTTTTCCCGCGATTGCCGGTGATCGCCTGAGACAGAGCAGGAATGCATTGTTTACACACAGCCCTATTCTGTGTCAGTTCTTCTGACAGCTTGTGAGAAGCTGCAGAGTTTCTCTCCCTCATTATCAGCTCCCCCTCCCTCCCCTTATCCAGTACACCCCCCCGCCCCCTAGTAAAACACTCCCCTTACACTGCAAATTCTAAACTATGTTTAACCCTTCCTCCCCGTGACATTAGTCCAGTTTCAGTGTTTTTTTTTCACTGATCACTGTATTGGTGTCACTGGGATGTCAGTGACCCAAGTCAGTTCCCCCCCCAGTGTCAAAATGTCCGCCGCTCGTCCCGCAGTCCTGCCATAAGTCGCTGATCGGCGCCATTATTAGTATAAATAAAAAATTTAAATTCCAG